CGGGGGTGCCCGGGAGCGCCCACGGCCTCCGGGAGCCACCAGCTCACCTTGAGCAGGATGTTCTTGGTGTTCTTGGCCCGCACGCTGCCCGCCTCCAGCAGGGCGAAGCCGCACTGCGCACCGCAACACACACGCCGTCAGGATCTGGGCCGTCTCCGCCGCTTTCCGACGACCCCGCTACGACACACCGCGCCCCCCTCCGCTCCCCACCATGGAGTGCATTCGGGCCCCCGAGGCGGGCGTCCGGGCGCACCCTTGCCCGCACACGCGACAAAGGAACCCGCGCGGTGAGAGCGGCAACCCGGAGCAGCGGCGCCGAAATGATCGCCGCGCTATTTTCCACCCCCACCCACCCCCACCCTCACGACACCGCCCTTCGCTGCGGCTCCCCCTGTGGGATCGCCCCACCTGCATGAAGAACACCAGGTAGGCGCCGAACAGCAGCCAAAGGATGTCCAGGTCCGCGCTCAGCTGGCCCTGCCGCCCCTCCGCGTTCAAGTGCGTCGTCACCATCTCCACCGACCCGTCATCCACGGCCACATCCCCGCCGAACTGCATCATCCCCCTTCCGGGCGCCATGGCGGAAACTGGTCACCGGCCTCTGATAGGGAAGTGGGTAGGGGAAGGGGGGCCGGTTTGGAGGGGCGGGGAGACGGCGCGGTCGCGGCCTTGGCGGGGCCGCTCGCGCGAGCCTGGGGTGGTGGCGCGATGACAGGTTGACGGAGAACAAGGCGAAGTACTTTGCGAGCGGCGTCAAGGGAATGTCCCCCCCTGGGTGGCGCCGCGTCGCGTGGCGCTGGGGAGGCAAAGTACGTTGAGCCGAGGGGCGGCGGACGGGATTCGTGGCTGAGGGGGAGGTGTCAGAGGTGTATGGGGGGTGATGTACTGGAGGGTGGTGTACGAGGTGTGAGGCGTGGGGAAATCTGCGTCAACGGGTCCCAGTAAGGTTTTGTCGGGGGATTATCGGTTCAGTAGTTTAGTGTTGCGCCCCGCTGATGGGCGGAATGAACGCGGAGAGGGCGCATTGTGAATTGGTGTGGAACCGGCGGCCTCGCACGCGTCCCACGTCGGACTCCAGCGCCCGTCTGGCCCGATGCATTTCCGGTCCGCCCTCATGCCGGATTCACATACCGACCGAGTCCCCCGCACGGCCAAACCCACGCCACCCAGCCGCTCCATATTCAGGGCGCCGTTCCTCCCTTCTGAATGCCCTGGATCCAGCCACACGTGCTTCACTCAAACATGACCGGACTCCGCATGAAATGTGCCTTGACCGGTGCCCACTACCATCGAGCTTGACCGGATGTAAACCCATTCAAACGTGCCCTTTCGTTTCGCAGTATTCCATGCTTTACCAATGCGTGATTGAAACCTGAATCAGCACGCTAATCCAGGACTTCGCTCCCTCGCAATCCCACAAATTACCGACCTCCGCTCTCATCGGAGATGGACCGCCCCCCGCTTGGGAAACCAGGAAATGGGGTGGGGTGGGGGCTACATAAGGGTCCCCGCTCTGCCCCCCCAAAGCCCGCCAAACTGCAAGGTCGCCAATAGTTGACGACCCTCGTCGAATGCCCTGGAGCTTTACTACCCAAGGTACTAGGTGGCCCAGAAACCACCAAAGGCGGTGTCTGACATGGGCATTTGTAAACAGCCGCCCTTTCAAACCATCGGCACAACCCACCCAACATTGCCTTCGGCGGGTGCCCATAGCCAGGATAGTTCATTACATTTTCATTGTTAATGGGTGCCTGCCAACGCAGAAAAAATCGAATCCCCCAGTGAACATTGAGCTGATGCACGGGCACATTCTGGGTGGGTCAACACCAAGCTCTCGTGTTAATATTTCAAACATCTTACCGAAATGAGGGCGTCTGTGCGCCGACATGTACAAGTAGGAATGCCCTTCAGAAGCGCCCTCGTTTGGAGCCCCTAACGTGGATGAAGACTACTATGTCAAAGCTGTGTGAACGCCACTAATGGATCTGCCGTGGATTGCATCGTATTCGGACACTTCACACAAGAAGCGATAGGTGTTCGCCTGGCTCGACATCCCCACAAATGGACGCAACGGCACATTCGCATGTGGACGAAGAAGGGAAGCTAGAACACAAGAGCGGAGGCCAAGGCGAGGGTGAGAACAAACAAAAGATGGCACCGACACATTCGTTTGGATTCAATGACCTGACCGAGGAGATTGCGAGTTATAACTCGCAATTGCGTTCTTAATTAAGAGCAGACAAGTGCCATGGACTGCAACATGTGCCCGTCTGAGAATTCCAGCTGCATGTTGTAGAGACCGAATCGATGACACGCGCGGTGGATGTTGTGGTTTGGGCTGTTTACGAATGGGTGATAGTCTGCGGAGAATGACGGTAAATCTTGGAGGAAACTGGGATAATAGGTTGCCAAAATGTCAATGTGGAAATATGCGACACTTAGTGGTGATAGGCCAAAGGATCCACAGGTGATTTGGGCTGGGGCTGAATGCACGCGCCGCCATATTTGGGCGGCCTCTCCGCCCAGCTGAATTCATGCTTCCTTGGTTGGTTCCTTTGAAGAACATTTCTACACTGGTGAATCAGACCTGCGGGACAATATTCTGTGCGAGAACATCCCCCGGTGAAATTCTTTGGTCAACGACTAGATCGGCCTGAAATTTTGCCTCCTGTCTCAGGCCCGAGGTGCCTGGATGAGCACTCTGCCGGGTACGGCATTGACTTCAATGGGTCGCCACAGCTTCACTTGGCTGCAAATCATCGATTTCGAGCGCCGCTGCTGTGTGCGGTCGTGTCTGCGGGAGCTCTTTGCTGTTTCTAGTCCTCATCTTTATTTCAAGCTTGATTTTCCTGCTCCGGCATGATCGCTCGATCATTTGCCCCAGTCGTTGCTGGAGTCGCGAGCTTTTCCACTTTCAGTTGTTCGTCCTGCATCAGATCCACCACGACCCATATATCAGGTCCAGCATTATTATTGTCCACCACAATCCTCCTGCGTGCGAGTGGCATTCCCCAGCTCGCCGGGCTGCAAAGACTGTCAGGGACTCCCTGCTCTTGCTACACCGCTTGTGCGCCAAAACGCGGTGTAGGAAGGCATTCGCATATTTTCATCCCCGGAACGTGTCATGCTCAAAGGCATCTGGCTGGGCATCCCTGCGCCTTTGCTAATCGTCAGTGGCGGACGATGACAACTGCACACACCAGCTCTGCATGGCTATTTGGGGGGCCGTCGCTCTGTCGTGCCTCCTGGTGGTGGTGGTGAGAACTTGCGCCACGCCCACTCACGCACCTATGTAGTTCTCACCCCACATTGGATGCATCCCAGTTGTCAGCATCACTGTGCTACTGCCTTTTCTGGGGTACCCTCCATGAATTTCCTTTGAGCCCCTCTTGACATCTCAGTGACACCGGAAACGTCTGTGTTGTTTCGCGCGTGGAAGTTCCCAAACGACAGTTCCGGTATGTTGGCTTAGGTTCGACGTGTATGCACTTTCCCTTACTCAGCATTGTAAGCCTCTGAATCAGCATGTTGAGTCGATCTTGAAGCCTCCACCAGCATTGACGAGCGACAACGGCTTGCCCTGCTCCCTTGTGCAGTGCTTGTAAGGTCATCACGTCTCCGCCATCAAGTTTGATGCGCACAGAAGCCCAATTCGATGGTGAGAGTCTCTCCAGGCCTTGTGTCTTGCTATCACCAACAGACTGTACACTATGGACATCCGAACTGTGTCGTTCACTTCAGCATCATGGGACTTAGGCCGCATGTATCATAAAGCTAACAGTGCATTCTTCCATCGCTTGTTGGTAGTGGCGACAAGCAATGGAAGGAGACATTGTTAGTCTGGCAGAAACAGAACGGCCGCAGCCTAACAACTTTTCCAGGTTATGTAGCAATCTCCAGCTTTCCGGCAGCAATTCTGCCGTTTTGGATACAGCCAGCCCAGAATCCATCACATGAACATCTGGGGATGATGGATTAGGCGCCAATACAACGCTGGCTACATCCTTGCAGCTCAGGATATCCACACTCTTGACCTCTTAGTGCATTCTTCTCACTCGTGAGCAACGAATAGCGGGTCTCCAACTCAACTCCCTGCCTGGCCCATGGTGTCGTGTCACCTAGCCGGTCACCATATCATATGGTCCATATATCAGTAGCAATGTGCCAATCGGTGAAGTGGGCAGCAACATGACAAACGGCAAGTTCAACACTGCGTGCACAAGGTCGCACAGCACACACGCCATCCTGGCAGGTTTTCGACGAACCAACGGCCATTTGCACATAGGTAGTTTCCCAGCGCTCCACAACATAGATGCAAACAATGTTCCGCTACAAATCCGCCTTCCTTGGGCAAGCGCCATGACGTGCACCCCAAACCCATGTACGAGCACAGAGCCCCGCGACCTGCTCATTAGGCTGTATCCCCAACCTGGCACAATCCAAGGTTAGGATGCCGTCCTCTTTCCAGCGGATGCTGGCCCTCATAGACAGGTCGCCCAGAGTGGTGCGATGTGGCATGCGCATGGCGTCTATAGCCTCACTTTGCGCGGTCCCAAAATGCATACCTTCGTTGAGCCAATGCCCTTACGCATCACTCCGCCCGTTGGTCAGGGCGCAACAGCCACACGCCCCAGGGGGACCCCGCACCCCACTCCACACTGACAGAGAGCTTTCTTATTCCATGCACGAGCCCAACTGAAGTGCACACCAAGCTGACAAAAAACAGTACAAGTGTCCCCAACTAGTGGAGAACAGATTATCACCCAACGCTGGACGACTACCCCGTAAAAGCCCACTCGCCAGCGACACCATGGCCACTGTCACTGATGAGAATATTGCGTCTCGTCACAACATACAATATGCCTGCTCCCAAATCAGTACGCACACATGCACGCACACAAAATCACAACTCATCTACTTATAGGTAAATAGCTCATTTTTGCCTCATGCAGAACAACATGGGCCCCTTTTGTTTTCAGTCCATCTGGGGGTGGATTTGATCACCCCGTGCCAGTGCCCACCCCATTGCTCCTTGTGATGGAGTTGGGGTTGACACCACCAACTTTGCCAATGCCGTAACCCGTGCCGCCATGGTGGGACATGTCCAGGCCTGTGATCTCGTCCTCCTGGGCGACCCTCAGGCTGCCCGTCATACGCAGCACCATGAACAGTACAAAGCTTATGCCACACGTCCAGACGCCGATCGCTGTTGCTCCCAGGAGCTGGACACCCAGCTGGTGGCCTTCGCCCCCATAGAAGATGCCGACGTCAGTCGTGCCTGCATAGTGGCAGAGGATCAGCAACTTGAAGGCAGAGGGCGCTGAACAAGGGTATGTGTCTGCAACAATGTCTTGCCAAGCAACTCACAAATCCCTGGACCACATTTGCACTGAAATGGCAAGCTATGACCTTTGCACATCGCGGGCCACAGCAGGCATCACCCTGTGCACCTGACTGTCCATTGAGTGTAAGTCCATAAGTGCAATCGCATGGCATGTCCATGAAGTTGTGCATGATGAGGTGGTCACAGCCATGCTGCTATTCTGGTCTTGCTGAGAAAATGTGTATCCCTGGGATTTATCAGGCATGGTGAACATAAGCGACTCTGAATGTGTACACTTGTGTGTATGCTGCTTTGTGCCTTTGCCAGCAAGTTGCATGGAAAGATGGTACAGGCTGTCTATGGCACAGTGCATGGCCCAGAGTGTGTCAAACTTACTGCCATATGCATTCTCGAGGTTGACTGGAGTGGCGAAGAATCCCACGGAGAGGACACCCCACATCCCACTAAAGAAGTGCACAGGAGAGGCGTCCAGAGGGTCATCGATCTGCAGCTTCTTGAGGCCCCAGGACGAAAAGTAGTAAACGATTCCTCCCACAATGCCGATGCATACTGAGCCATAGGGTTCCACAACTGAGCAGCCGGCAGTGATGGACACCAGGCCAGCCAAGATGCCTGTGAGCAGTGCAGAAAAACAGCACAATGAGTGATGACTAACTAACAGAAAGGAGCCAAGCCACAACACTGAGGCCCCTCCTGAGCCCCCTCCTGTGAAAGACTTCTGGTGATACCCTTTCCTGTGCTGCACAAAAATGATGCAATAGGCTTTGAGTAACACAGGTGACAGCACATGCAACATGAGGCACAGACAGCGAACAGAGAACAAGTGTGATCGGTCCTGTGAGAACAGTGTGCAAGGAAATCTACAACATATACTGTGCTTGGCATGTCCACGAGGTGGATGTGGTGACAATTAAGCACAGGACAGTGAACTGATGTGGAACACAGTACTGCGTATTTGACATACAGCACATGGTGTGGGGCATCAGTTACTGCCTGCTTCCCATGTCTAGGTAATGCATTGGGCAAGAAATATGCCAAGTGGTGACCAGGACTGCCAGCTGCGATAATGCCTTGCATTACAGAAACCCATACCCCACCACAAGCTCAATCGCTCCAACGACTGGGGACTAAAGCTATCTTCTTCGAGGCACAGAGGCTGTGCTTCGTCCTTTTGGACGAATGCAATGCAAGGATTCCCATTCAAAGATTCTCACAACTAACCAAAACTTATGAGCAAAATCAAAGCTTGGAAAATCAAACTAAACATTCCTACTGAACTATAGCGCTCCAATTCAGAGGTTGCCATCAAAATCCTCGCATTGCATCCGTCCAAAACGTCCAATAGCCCCAAGTGCGAAGCGGCCGTCATGGAAACCCGGACGCACCGTTCAGCGCCGGCGCCACGTCCGGCTGGTTGTGGAACGCCACGTGCACCACCAGCACCGTCACGCCACCCGCCGCGGCGGCCAGTGTCGTCGTCACCGCCGCCTTGGACGCCACGTACATCGACCCGTAGAACGCCAGCGTGGACACGGGATTGAACCCGTACCAGCCGAACCAGAGGATGAGGACGCCCAGGGTGGTAAAGGCGATGGAGCTGCCGGGCAGGTCGATCACACTGCCGTCGGCGGCGAAGCGCCCGTAGCGCGGCCCCAGGATGATGGCGGCCATCAGGGCCGCGCCGCCGCCTGTCATGTGCACCACGCCGCTGCCCGCGAAGTCGATCAGACCCACGGACTTCTCGAAGACGATCTCGTGCTCGCCGTCGTGGTTCACGTCCCTGCGGCGACGCGAGGGGGAGCAATGGTTACAAGACAGGATGACGAGGCACGATATCGCGTGTCCTCCACCTTTGGGGAGATTTGGCGGCAGCCCCGGAACGCAACAGGGCGGATGCAAAGGACAGCACACCGAGTGTCAACGTGGCATCCCCCGTTTCATGAATTCAGTCACAACTCGTGCTGGACAGCGACGTTTCCGGGCCTGGCAGGATCCCCTGGACCAGGGAAGACAGCTTTGTTCACCGCTCAAGTCCTTCGCTGCAGTTTTGAATGGGCTGCCATGTGGGCCAGGTGCAAAAACAATGTTGGTACGTCTGCAGCTTTCCAATCAGTGCTGTGGTGTTCTTGCCGATGCTGCAGCCTTTTTTTGTTGCTTGTGTGCCCTAGTCCCCAACAAGGCTGCAGGCTCAGCCACAGAAACTGAAGCACAAATATGTTGTCCTCACAATGCAGCGACCGACAACAATCAAGAGGGAAAGAGAGTCGCATGGACAGAATGCAGATCAACAACTTGCAGTTGTCCTTTGGGAACTCGCACGCACCTGAAGGCAGACAGCCAACCCTCAGACGACCATGCCCAGTGCACCACCACAGGGTAAATAAGACCTGTGATGACAAAGGTGTAGGTCAGGTATGCCCTGAACTGGCACCGCTCAGCGACGGCCCCTGACACAATGGTGGCTGCAGTCGCAGCAAATGCCCATTGGAAGAGCCAGAGGGCGAAGTATTCGTTGGCGTTGTTGAGGCCCCGTTCTCTCAACTCAGGGTCGGGTGACACGTCGTTGCTGTTGCTCATGAAGAAATTCTGCGAGACAGTAACAAAACGGTCGGCAAATCAATTCAAGGCGAGTGGGAAGATGTTCAGATGCGCAAAACCAAGGAGTAAATAAGCCATCTGTGTTTGGATGGTCGCAGGTGACTCCTTTCTGTTTTCACAACCCAATCAAAACATACCAAGTGGACATTCTTCTGCCTTTGTTCCCACACATCCCTGAGAGTTCACACACTTTGTCATCGGCAAGGAGAAGATTTGTGCATACAGGTGGCAGCTTGTGCACAGGGGGCAGGAGAGGGCAACAAGAAGGAAGTTTCCTGTGCACTGATCATTCTCCAAACCAGATACAAGGGTGCACCAGCGAACCATAGGGGCAGGGAATCAAAACTTAAAAAGTGGGCTACATTATTTTCCGTGTGCTCCTCTTGAGATAACCACACTGAGAATGGGGCGGACTGGCTGCAGGCGAGTTTTTTTTGGCCACCACAGTCGACATCTTTTCCTTCACAATTGTCAGCCTTTGCTGCCTTTTCCTTCCTGGGGGGCGTTAGGGAATAGGACGCGGGTCCAAAGGACTCCCTCGTTCTTCTGATGGACACCCCAAACCCGGGTTTGGAGTGGACTGCATCGTGCTCAGACACGAGGGCTGACGCCACTGGGGAGCACTTTGCTTTGTGGAGATAAGGTCCACAAGCTGGCTTCCCAACGAAAGCACCAGATTGGTGATGCAGTCCTCTCGCTGCAATCGTCACCGACTGCAAGTGGGTGTGCCCCCCAAACCCCAATTCTGTTTAATAAAGACACCGCATTTCAAGCAACAAGACCGCGGTGCGCCAATTTGAATTGTACAGCGCATGTGCTGCCAGCTCTCCAGCAGTTGGTGCTGACGCCAACTGCCTCCCCCCCTTAGGACCGGGCTGACAGTTCACTGTCAGCTCACTGTCCGCAAACACGGATCCAGTCAGCCAGCAGGCGGCGGATTTGGGCCCCGTCAAGCCACACGAATCTGGCCACCCGTCACACGCTCCACCCCACGTGTCCCCACTCGTACATTGGCCCCGCCCTCGTCAATTTCCAGGAATTGCGCCGGCAACATCCAGGGCGCACTTTTGGGCCTTTTGGTCCGCCATTGCGCCCCAACACGCAACGGCCCTCCCTTGGAGCTGATCCGACACCTAGGCCCCCCCGCCGCGCGCCCTTGGGACCGACCTCCGGGAGGTCATCCCGAGCGGCCAGCGACACGCGCGCCGTTCCGCTGTCGACACCTGCCGGCGTCGGAACCCACCCCGCCCACCCACGGCCCTGCCCCACCCCAACTCAGATCAACCCAGACCACTTCTTGTCACAGGGCCCTGAAATCATCCCGCTTGGTCATAGAATGGATTCTGTCCGCGCCCACAACCCCGGGTGCAAAAACCGACCTAGGGCCGCAGCGGGATTTTCGCTCACCGTTCCGCCGATGAACTCGTTCGGGTGCTTTCCACCCTCGCCGTAAGCGAAGGAGTAGCCCCAACCGTACCAGACCAGGGCGCCGAGGCAGGCGTCCAGCACGTTCTGCGGGGGCACACGCGCAAACGAGTCAGACGGTATACGAAGCAGCAGAGCGACACTCCGACGGCGATCCGCCCGGCCGTCCCGCTCCAGCAGATCCAAAGTCGAAGGACCGCGAAGGTCCGTCGGCGGCCGACGACCGGACGCGGAATCGCACCACGCGAGCCCAGGCGCGCCCGCGAGCGCGACGAGACCACCAGCCTTGCCTACCTTCAGCAGGATGTTCTTCGTGTTCTTGGCCCGCACGCTGCCGGCCTCCAGCACCGCGAACCCGCACTGCAATCCACCATAACAACTTCAATCCCGGCAGCCTCAGCGCGGGCAGCCCGCGCTCGAGCCCCCCCCCCCTCCCCACCCAACCCAACCCGCCCACGGCACCCCCACCCACTCACACCCGCCGCCACCCACCTGCATGAAGAAGACGAGGTAGGCGCCAAACAGCAGCCACAGGATGTCCAGGTCCGTGGCGAGCTGCCCCTTGGGCTCGATCAGCGTCACCATGCCAAGCCGCGCCGGCTCCTCCGCGGGCGCCGGATCCTGCAGCAGGCCCCTTCCGCCAACTCCCGCCATCGCGCGCCGCAACTCCACCATTCTCTGCGCCCCTCCCGGCTCCTCTTCCTCTGGGATGGTGCCCAAAGGTGCGGCGGCGACGCTGGCGGGCAGGGTGGCCGCGGGCGCCCGCCTCTACCTCCGCGCCCCCTCCTCGGATCAGCGCCCGGTTGGTTAGCGGGCCAGGTGCGTAATGCCCCAAATCTGGGACCAGGTGGGAGCGTCGGGATCGGAGTGAGCCGTATGCACTGGCGGGACCGGGGGCCCGGCGGCGCAGCCAGCTGGCGTAGTATGAATCCGCGAGCGGGCAGCAGCGGGTACATGCATCACTTGCAGATCCACGAATCAATCAAATATTTTGCGTGGCGAAGGCGACGAGAGTGTCGAAGGCGGCGGCAAACCGTGCGCCACGGAATCTCGCTTTCTGTGGCGTGTTTGGCTTGTAGTCGTGCCGGTTTGGCTTTGGTTGGGTGCGGGGCTGCTTCCAGTGCAAGTGAAAGGCCGAGGGCCTGGATCCTCCGAGGATGGTACGCGGATGGGCGGCGTCACGCGGTTGGAAGCGGGGGCACCGAAGGTGGGATGCTGCTGGGAACGCAGCCGGCCCCAAATGCACACGGCGTTTCCTGGTCATTTAATTTCGTGTGCTTTGTCGTGTTTGTTATGCAGTTGTCTTGTCGCTTATGCATTTGGGCGCGCGTCGGCTGTGGGCGCTGCGGTTCGATGGTCCGCTGCCAGTCGCGGGTGCCCCAGCCATCGGCTGGCATGCCCACGAGAGGTAAAACAGTGACCCCGGGGATTCGCGACAGTGCCTGTGTGGGGTGCCGCATGCAAGCAACAGCTCCAGGACCCCAAGTCAAGTTGCTGCCCCCATCGACTGTAGGGGGTAAATTTCAAGAGTACAACGCATTGAGCACCGTGTGCAGACTGTGTGTCATCAAGGGAGGTATGCGGAATAATCGAGCAAGGATGCACACTGCTGGCTAATGCCACCATGCTCACATTACTGAACCACAGGATTGCTTAATTTGTCCCACCTCAACTCCTGGGAAGCTGGCAGTCAATATTGGTTGACACGAGAGCCGAGCACACTTTGTGTACACTGTATTTCTATCTGGTGTGTGTGCCATCCTGCACACGCTCAGTGCCCTCTACGGGCACCGTAATGCCAGTACTACTGTACGCAGAAAAGGCACGCAACATGTATCGAAGCACTGCGATACGCACGAAATACCTCGTGATGCAGGGTCCCGCAACACAGGAAGGGCCAATGTGCCTTTCGTTAAGGGGGGGCATGGGCGTTCTGCCGTGGCACCCGCAAGCACATCGGCGTTGGAGGTGTTCCTGCTTAGAACACGCATTTCGTCTTCAAGGGTCATGTCGCCAAAGGTGTTGGAGGGAACTTTCTCAAACAGCGTTTCTGTTGTGCTTGCCGGCCTCGGATGCATCGAAGGCCAAAGCCGCACCACTGCCCTTACGTGTCCTGGGCCCCGGGGCGTCACACCAACCAGCACCGAGCGCAGGTTTGCGGACCCCGCCATGTACTTCTACTTGCGCATTAGCGTTCAATAGGGGTCCAGCTACTGGACCCTCTGCACTGCAATTACGGGCACGGAGTGCTTCGCTCGGGCCTTGGGCCAGTGGCCCGCCGCTTTGCCGGGCACGTGCCAAGCCCACCCGAAGGACCCGCGGCCCCTGCCTTGTTCGTGGCCTCGAGGATGTGCCCCGGTTGGCACGCACTGAAGGGTTTCGACAGGTAGGATTGCAAACTTGCGGGACACAGAGGGTATTCTGGGAGGGATCCAGGCGCTGAACCACGGCAGCCCCGCAATGCGCACAAAGGTGCGCCCGGGCTGCGGCCACAGCGCTGGCCGCCGCTCCGGATGAGCATGTCCAGGTCTGAGGTCTCAGCGAGCCTGGACCGTGCTTTACATAACGGACCACAGGGGACACAGAGGACGGCCAAAGACCGTGCGCGTGTCGCCTTTCGCCGCTCCGTCGATGGCATCCCGTCCAGGTTTAACCGCAACCTGGAAGTCATTTCGGCAACGCCCAAACGCTGGCCGGCGTTACGGCACTGCACCGTGGCTGCATGGGGCGTTTCGGCCGTGGCTGACACCGCAAATTGGGCCAGCGGTTCCATCCCAGGCTCTCGCGGTCCTTGGCGCGTGACCCACGAAGTCACCCTGAGCGCACCCTTCTTGCGACGGCGCTGACCCATGGCAGCGGGCGAAGCAAATTTCCGTTGCCAGGAAAGGGAACAATGTTGAGAGGGCGAGTGTCTGTTGTCTTACTGAGTGTGGCTGACGACGCGCCTGGTACACCCGCATGAAACCCAGATAGGGTGCCCTTCAACTGCAGTGGCACGGACGGAACGCAAGTCGATGGGCCTACTCCAATGAAAGGTAGAGTCCTTCCCTGAGTGAGAAGCACCTGGAGACGTTTTTTCGAATCGACGTGTTAAAGCGCTTCCCGCTCAAAGGAAGTTGACAGGCACGAATTCACAGTGGCCAGCCTCCTTTGCCTTCATGCCGGTGTAGGTTCGCTGAGACGAACCTAAAGGAGTGCCCTTTCATCCGCGTAGAGGCTGCAGACAGGCTGGCAGACAAAAGGAGATTGTCATGCAGCTGCAGGGACACGCTCTACGAGCTTCGGTTTCGTGGACTCCATTTATGTGCATCCGTGCATCCCAGAACAGTCATTCGATGTCGAATCGCCCCAGATGCTGGTCCGTTGGACCATGACGACGAGGGGCGCTCCGTTTGGCGATGGATACCCGGTGATAGATCATGAAGGAGAGCGATGACAAGGATGCCTGAACGATTGCCACAGCGGGAGGGTTTGGGGCGGCGGTTGGCAGCGCGAATGTCGATGGGGTGGTCTCCAATTGGTTGGTGCCTCAGTGCTGCTTGTATTGCGCACTACAAGCAGCACTGAGGCACCAACCAATTGGCATGCCATCGCGTGACTGTTGGATCATCAGCATTGAACGCAGTGCCTTGGCACTGTTGTTGGCACTACGATAGATGAAATTCGACTGGCTTTTTCACCAACCCGGAACTCGCCATTGGCCATGATGTTGCTTCACTCACTGGGTGCCACATGGCCATTGACTGGGTGACACTACAACATAGGCCAATTAGAACTTGGCATGGACAGCCATTGAGCTAACAAACGAAAAGGCATGCTGACATATTGCTAGGGCGCACGCAATGCGGAAAGCGTTACTATGCCTGCAGTAAACAAGATCACCCGCTGCGTTGCTGGGCACGAAGCACGTTTGTACTGAGTCAGAAAGGGAACCCTACTTCTGCGAATTGTACATTTCCAGAAAATTGATTACGTATGTGTCCAGTTTTGATGTAAATATCTCCCATGCTTTGGAAAGTTTTGGATATCAATTATTTTGGTAGTGAGGCAAAATGCTGTCAAAGAGGTCGCCAAAATTCGAGGTCGAAGGAGTTAGTCTTCTTCGACGCACTCCTTACAGAGACTAATGGACTAAGCGTCTGAGCACCTTATGATGGACATGACTCTTTGGTGCCAGGACCAGGTGCTATAGATAGTACGTGGCCTGGAGATCTCCATTCCTATTTAGTACTCCCCATGGGTGTCTTATGAGATGGGAATGACGTTCCTATCCTGGATGTTGAATAACACGGTGAAAGGCTTGGGTTGCAGGAGTGTATTCCGTTTTGATGCCTTCAACACCTACCCAATGGATAGCCAGGTTGATGATTGCTGCTAGGCTTATTGATATCACGTTAATGTCACGTTAATTAAGGTTATGTTTAGTCTTTCGCACTTAAATAAAAATTTTGCGTTTGAGAGGGTAAATACGATCTGTGTTTACGCCATAAATAGCAAGCGTTATTGTGGCTGATCTGTGGTCGGCCGTTGGCCTTAACGCATCGGTCTGTTGGCGCTAATGGTGATGCACCATGCTCTTTTCCAGGCAGCGATACGTGCCTACTTATATGTGTTTATCCCCAGACGCGGCATTTTGTGGGTGACGTTTGAGGGATTGGACAATTGGGTACTGCCTCACATACACTGAAACATTGGCGCCTTTCGCCCTGGTTACGCATGGTGCGTGGCACACCAGAGCTCGCCTCCCTTCTCCACAGCGACAGTCATGGGATCCAGCAAGGGTCATGGTCCCCATACCGCCTCCCATCACCACGCTCATCGTAGGTCATCTCGGCAACCGATTCATCGCAACCCCATCGGATCTTGCCAGCGCCTGCCCTGCCTCTCCCAATCCGCTGAATTGCCAATAGCGCTAACAACCCAGCCTTCCCCTTCCTCTGTGAAGGATCTCACAATGTTGATTTGGGCACCCTAGCGCCAAGCTCCCCGACACACTCTCACCTCCCCTCCCCTTATGTTGATGCCTGAAACAACACTACTCAGAAGCGCAACTCAACCTTCAAACACAGAAGAGAGGACGAAGGTACATTTTGCGGAAGGCAAAATAGTCTTACAGAAGGCAAAAGGCCACCGTTGCGGGGATTGTTAAGGTTGGAAATGGGATATTCGAAGTGATGGCAGAGTATGGATGCTGTCAATTGAGACATTATTGTGGCCTGAGTTCAGATTTCGGGCAAGACAAAACTTGTTAAGCATTGGTTGCCGCTGATCAGCGGCAGTTTTGGCTTCTTGCAGGCTCATGTCCAAATTGTGTACACTGTGTAAATTCCAAAAGTCACAGCAGGGCCCACCCACCCACTTACAGCGCCCCCACCCCGCCGCACCCCACCCACCTTTTGTGAGCGCGTCAATCAGATGCCAAGCGCACCAAATAGACAAAGGTCAGTCCCTAATATTGTGCCTAGGGAATGACGGATGCCGACGCACCCATGGCACCAACAACTCCTCATTTCCGACCTGAAATGCTGCTCTTAATAATTGGTGTCAGCAGGCGCCGACAGATACTGAAAGGCGCTGATATGTGAGGGAGGATACTGAACAGACATTTTGGGCAGCAGGCGATGAGAACATGCCGACGCCAATGGGCCGGCACCTAACTGAGCCCAGAACTCAAA